TATACTCTAAATGCCTAGTATTTTCCTACTTTGCGTTCTCAAGTTATAGAATTTTAGATATTTTACTTGGGAGTTTTATTTTTTATTCGATATATGATTGCTTTTCTTAATACCTGATGCATAGTATCCATCCAAGATATCCAGCATCCGTTGTTCCTCTTGTCGTAGATCCAATCATATACCGTACCTTTGTCGGGAAAGATTTGTTGCTTCGTCAATTTGAACATCTTCGGCTTGGGATACTCGTCGATATTACCGAGTAATAACTTTCGCAGGTACACGTCGAAGGTTTTTCTGCTGTTGCTCGTTAATGTTGGGCAAATGCCCCAAACCATGCTGAACAGTAATACGCACTGAAGCCACACTGTGCTCACTTGCGTCTCTTCTGCCAACATCATGCTGAATACTCTTGTAAAAGACTATTACACAGAAAAAGATGTAAATTAAAACGCTACATTAAAAGACATGAAAAATTACATATATACTATTTCAAAAATATTTTAAGTTGGAAAGGATTCTTTTTTCTTTCAAGTTATATTTCTAATAATCTTCTAATATTTCTAATAATACTTCTAATAATATCACTTATTAAATCGAGTGTATGTTTAATACTATGTAGACTCTTCCACTGTACTTACTAAGAACATATGTATCTCCGATGTGTCTATAAAAGTCTTACAATTATATCGGATAAAACGTAATATCGGGTCGGTCAACCATTCGATCAATTCGACAATGAGCTCGAACTGCTCGACCAACAGTTTCTCCTCGAGATGCTTTTTATAAGATTCGAAGATTGGTTGCCAGCCCAACTGAGAGGGCTCCATGTAAATCATCCCGCATCTACTGACGGTGGCGGGCGAGGCGTGCTCGAGGTCGGCTGGCTCGAAGAACATATTCATCCTGCCGGACATCTGTATGATCTCGCCGGACATCAGGCAGAGCTTCTTGTTGTCGTCCAGCACGGTGTTCATGCTCTCGATCCAGATCGCGTCCACCGGACCATCGAACACGATCCACTTGCGTTCGAGCGCGATGGACTGAGCATACTCGCGAAATGTGTTGGCCAGCACACCGTCGCTCCATTCGTGCGACACCGGATCGAAGCTGCCGTACAGTTGACTCAGCGGGATGGCTTTGGGATTGATCACCCGGTAGACCGTGCGATACTCCCGCATTGTGGCTTTCCGTACAACCGATAAATCGCCCAGCGAGTCGGCCAGCACCTGATAAGCCTGAGTCTTCCCGCCCAGAGCCGAGCCGACGATCATCAAACCATGCCGCACGAGTAACATCTCGTAGATCTGCACGATCTTCTCCAAGTACCAGTCGGTAGCTTGGAGATTCCGCTTCTCCAGATTCGTCGTCAGCAGATTCACGAGTTCGCCACGTTCCGGTTGAGGCAGGTCCACTTCCGGGAAGAGGTCTGTGTAGATGCCGGTGAAGAGAGAAACGTCCTGAGACAGGAACTTGGGTAAATTAACGTCCACGATTGCGCGTAGAACCAGGGTGTGCTCGTTTCGCTTCGGATACTTGAGCTTTAAATTGCCGGCCGCTATCAGCACGGTCTTGACCGCGCGCATCCCGTAATCGTAGTGGTTTTGAGAACTCAATTGTTCAGAGCACAGTTTGTAGGTGTGAACTATCTTCTCTGCGAGATTCTTCGCGTTCGTAAAGCCGTATGAGTACAGAGTGATCTCACCGATCATGGCGTAGTCCGGCACCATCATCGCCACCGTTCGGAACAGCACCTTCAGATTGTCCGGCAGCTCCTGCCGGCCGGCGTAGCCTGGGTTCATAGTTATGATGACGTTGCAGGTGGGATTCAACTTCAACTCGGTGCCCTCAAACACAAATTTGTCAAGCTTCATGCTTATGGCCATCTGTATCGACAGTATCTGTTGCGCGATCACGGACAACACCTCCAGTTCGATCCTGTTGAACTCGTCGAAGCACGCCCAGGCTCCCGATTGTGCGATACCCTTAAAGAATTTGCCCATCGCTTTGAAATCAAGCCCCTCGGAACAGTTGAACACCACACACTGCTTGGCCACAGCCTTCGCGAGATCCTTGGCCGTCTCCGTCTTGCCGGTACCCGCCGGTCCTTCAGGCGAACCACCTAGATTCAATTTCAGCGCGCCCATCAAGGTCCTGTAGCACCGATCCGTGAGCGGCGTTATTACGAGTCTGGATGTGTTGCCGAGATATTCGAAGGCGTACATGATGTTAGTCGTGACCATGGAGACTGTAATGCAGTCGTCCAGCCAGTAGTAGCGAAGTTGCGCTATCCAGTTGAAGTCCGAGGGATTATCGACCTGCTTATCAACCAGCAGCTTCACCACGTCCCGGGCGTGCACGTCTATCACTATTAGAGCATTCAACGTTATTCTGGCGCCGGGTTCTAATTTACCGCGTACAAGCGCCACGATGTCCTCTATCTGATCGGTGCACTTGTGCAAGTAAGACGCCGTGGAACGATCCTCGAAGGAGTCGTACACCTCGTTTGTCCAATGTATCTGACTGCTGCAGATGACGATCTGACCGGGCCACGAGAGTACCCATTCCTCGCGCGTGACATCGAAGTACGCTATTATACTCTCCTCGGCGACGTCGCGCAGCGATATTACCATGAGCTCTTCTACTTGACACAACCACCTCTCGACCATACCCTTCGCATCGGCAGGATAAATCTTGCCGCTCAGAGGAACGTATTCCTCCTCGGCCGACAGCATACCAATAATCTCCTCGTCTTTGGTGAAGCGGAGTTTGTTGATACCTTCGAAGCACTTCCGCAGATGCGGCTGCACTCGCTGCGGATCCTTGGTCTCGGACAGGATCTCCAAGAGTTCGTCGTTCGACAGGAAGAAGAATCGCGGGAAGAACAGACGCTTCTTCTCCAAATAGTCGTTCAGACCCTTCTGGATCTCCTCGAGGAGCGAGTTGCAAAGCTTCAATTCCTGCAGCATGTTCGGCATCGCGGTGGCGTCGATCACCCGTCTGTTGTCGTAGACGTACGACATGATATTGCGCCAGATTTTGTCGATTCTACGGAAGTTCCTCGATTCGGTCGGCATCTGCCGCATGATATCCTCGCTACTGAATATCGGCTCCAGATACATCCAAGTGGCCTGGCAGAGCAGCCATTGATCGATGATATCCTGCATCATTATCAGCTTCTCCTCCCACAGCTGCATCTCCTCCTCGAATGCCTTCACGAAGGGCGAACCGCGCATGGTCTGCGCTTTGAGAATGTGATCGTCCAACAACATCTGTATGTCGTCCACGGCGGACAATATAAACACCCCGGTCTCTCGATAAGGAGTCAGCTCGAAGTACACTTCCTGCCATTCCTCCTTCATCTTCTGCAGGTTCCGCTGCAAAGTATACTCTTTCGTGGCTGCCGAGGCTATCTCTTCCAGCTTGGTGATATAAGCGGGAAGACCGTACTCGATCATTTCTGACAGATTGCTAGTGTCCGTTAGTACTATCGTTACATCGACAATCTTGCTGACCGCCTCCCAATGTCGGACTTGTAGACCCGGCGTACAGATAGTCTGTAATACTGGAATAAACTGCCGGAACTTTTCAACCTTGCCGCGCACCATCTCGGCGACGCGCCTCGCGCCTGGCACCTCTGTCAGCATGCGCGACAGCTTGTACAGGGTTCGCCATGTGTCTTCGGTCTCCTCGCGCACTTGCTCGGCATCCAGACCGTCGAACGGTCCGTAGAACCACTTGTCGTAATTCCGGTGGAACTCCAACGCAGTATGCCAGAGCTTGTCGAAGGTGTCTACCGTGCTGGACATGGTCGGCAGCTCCACATGTGGGCTCAGCTCCATGTCCAACAGTCCCTCCTCCTCGTTGATTTCCTCGGCTTCCTTACGGATCTCTGTCATGGTTGCGGAAATATGGTCAATCTCCTCCACAGCTTGTTCCATCTCTTCCATCGTGAGGACCGGCGGATCCTTTCGCTTGAATTGATCGATCGCCATTTGTGTCGTAATTATCTTCTTCTCGAAGGCGTCTCGTCTTGTACGAAGCACGGTCTCTAGAAAGTCCTTCCTCATGTTCAATCTATTGCTCGCCAGTTCCATTACGACTTCCATTTCCTTCGGCCAGGTGATGGTGCGTGAGTTCAAATGAATGTCCTCGTCCAAGGGCGGCTGATGATCGAACAGGAACAATGTCAACTCGACCGAGCGAACCAACCGTCTCCTTAGATTGAACATCGTCGTGTCGCGGCTCTCACACAAGTAATTGTACAGCTCGACAACCTGCTGCGTTGTTTCCGGCATCTTCGAAATGTTCTCCGCTATCTCGTCGAATATCGAACATAACTCGCGATTGTTGGCTCGTAATTCGTCCGCAAAGAAATCGCATATTCTACTTCGAAGCGTATGCAGAATTTCTCTCATCGTATCGTTCACGGTACTGCAATCGATCTCGATCATGTTCAGCGGGATCTATTATCAAAGAAGTAACCAAACTATTAATTTCTGTAATTTTATACGAGAAAATAATATAGCTTTATAATTTTTCCGAGTACTGTTTTATTGGTTTCAAATAGTGTATTATATTAAGTAAAAATGTTTTCAGATTCGCTAATTTTCTAGTATTGATATAAAGAATATTATTGGTTTCCTTCCGGTAGAATGAACGGTAACTTTGTCATGTTATACTTACTTTACATCGAAACATGCAAATCTCTTTTCGCAGAGCGTCGTACGCCTTTATCTGTTGCTCGAACTCTCGCAACAGTGGTACCGGCTCGAGGTTAAAGAATTTGTCTAATTTTTTCTCGGCTATCCCGCCCGTAATATACAGCAAATTCTCGTAGCACTTGAGATAATTATCGGGACCAGTTGCATGTTTAGTGATCACGTCCAGGACATCGCTGATTATGTGCAATACCTGTGATAACGCAAAAGGAAGGACTGTGTGATTGCTTCATCGAACGATCAGGAATTCTCTCATTAACTTTTTATTAGAATGTAACTGTATTATATCAAACGTATAATTACCGTATCTTCAAATCGCGAGATGGGAAATAAACAACCCGCGTCCTTCAATTCCGGAAACAGAATGGTCTCGATCTTGGGTATCGTAGCGCCCACCGTGATGATCTTGTCGAAACACCGCGAGATCATAGTGTGCAACTTTAGGATGCTCGGTCTACAGTGTAATTTTGTCGTGCCGAGTTCCGGTTCCACTTTTACTGTTATGAAAGGAGTTCTACAATTGTAATTTCTATTGTATTCGAGTCCACTCTGTATGTATGTATTAGAAAGGAATTGTCGAATTGTCCCTTACTCGAGAAACGTAAGATCCTTGTACTCTCCTTCAAACGCGTTGCCAGCGTTGTATCGCATGAAGAAGTCTTTCACGTCTTCCAGCGTCTTCATTATCATGATTCGTAATTGTTTCGACAATAGGGAATTGACGCCGCGAAAGTACTTCTCGATCATCGCGGTAGACGCGTCGGACTGCATCTCGAAGTACTGCGACCAGTCGCGTTCCTTCTCGAGAAAGATTTCCGCCACGTCGGCCAGCCATTCCTTAACGAGAATATCGGTAGCGGCAACGCACAGGGCATTGAGTCTCGGTTCAATTTCCGCGGCCGGAACAGGAAGTGTACCGAAATCTTGCATGTGAATTATTCTCACCTGATGATATCTAAGACAAAGATGATCGCTGGTTCATAACTCGATAATAAATGAACGTTTCTTGTTTAAATGTTATTTCAATTATTTTAAGCCTCGGAGGGAAAGATTAAATTCTTAATTTTCCGGCTTGCCCGTCGTACAATCTTACTTTGCAAACCACAGATCTCGGATGTCTCTCAGTATCTCATTCCCGATAAAAAGATTGTGCCGCACCGAGTGACTTGCCGTGACTTTTGACTGATGCCAGGGCACTGGTGCGCGAACGCATAAAACCGGGAATTCGATAGGAAACGTTTCGATAGACAAACGTTTCCGTTCATCGGAATCCATCAGAACATAATCCACTATCGCGTTACGAAGGCTTCGCTTATAGTCATCAATTATTTCTGGCTCCAAACCTTTCGTCACAACATCAAAGCTATAAGAAGTGCATTTTTCTTTAATAGACACATCCTATGATTTTATCGTAAACAATAAAATGTGTCGTGTATCTTAAAAACAAGTAATATTTAGACTGTCTTTCGAATAAACAACAGAAATAAACAAATATAATAACGTATGCTTACTCTTCACGTTCTTGTAATTTGCCAGTGACACGCTTCTTCGCTGCGTCGATATTAACATAATCGTATGGTTGTAAATGACGATCGCTTATGCAATGATCTCTAAGATAAACTATTTTGGCAACATCCTCAAACTTTATTGATCGTCCTTGTTCCTTATCGACTATCGCCGTTAACTCGGCTAACTGTTCTTCGACGGATTTTGGAATTTCCGCCTCGACATAACGTACCATCTATAATACATGATGCTATTTTTATTATGCATTTGACAATTTAATTTGAAAAAGATTCAAAGTTGTTCTTCGAAGCACTCGTTGAGTTTTACAAAAATGCCTCTCGTTACCTCCCGATCTGACTCTCGCTTTGTTATCCTTTTCTTGCGCGCAGACAACTCTTTTTTCATCAAGACTCTTGCCTTCCGACTTTTCTTCTGCAACCACGTATCATCCGCCAGATCCCTTAGACTTACTATATTTTCCGGCAAAGAGTCGCGTCTCTTCTCGGCCGTGGCAGCTTTTCTTCGTTTTATTTCTTCGTTGTGTCGTTCGACGAAAGCGTGAGGCGGACCCGCGAGCACGCCGTCGGCACCAAAAGGATGCCATCGTGCAGGCTTGACGCCGCGTTTGGTCAAGATCCTGGTTCGATACGCGTGTACGCCAGGAGTGAAGATGCTGCCTATACTGTCGGTAGGCTTCACGTAGCTGTGCCAGTGATTATACGGAACAGCCTTCGTCCACGAAGATTCCTGTATCAGCTTTTGCTTCTGTGCAAGCTGCAACGCTTCCGACGTTCCCGGCGACGGATAGTCTTCATGTTCCGCCATTATATTTATCTTGCCCGAAGTTTCACATGTATCCTTTCTTTCAGCCATTTCTGTCACTTAACATATTGAAAAACAGGCACCCTCTCTGACCGCAAATAATTGTTAGCAAGACTAACCCAAAGAATAAATGCCCTGTATACTTATCATTATGCTAATTGTCCAATATTGTTACTCTTAAAAATGTACGAGCAAGTTGCTCTTGGGCTGATAGGGTTCGCTGTTTTATCTACGTTAATTTGCAATTAACAGGTTCAAACTGTCAAGTAACAAGTATATCGACAAACGAAATGTCTTACTAGCTCGAATCAACACATCTATATCTCGTAACTATGACGACGGCATGGAGATTAGTGGAAACGATCGGGAAAAGATACAAGAGACAAAATAGGATTACTATTTGTGTACACATCTTCCGCAAATATACTAGTATAAATAATATAAATAATTATTTATATTTATTATGTAAAATGTTAAATAAAAATATGTTCTTACTTTAGCATATGACAGTCTTGAATGTTTAGGTTTTGGCAAATCGTAAAAGCAATAATTATATTCTTAGTTGATATTTAAATATAACTGTGAGAAAATAAATCTTTCTAAATTTCTAGTACACGCTTTGACAGCTTGTCACCAAATTGTCAACTAGTACATATAATTAACTACAATCATCTTTCTTCAAAACTGGTCGACGGCAAGTTACGTCGGCGAGAGAGTAAAATTTTTCCTTTTTCACAATTTTGCTCGGCAACATCCTGGGAAAGATTAATCTCCTCAGGAACAGGAGCACCTGATAAAGGTAAAAAAGTGTTAATTGAAATTGCATATAATGATATGTATAATTTGATAGTAGACGTGACTTACGTTTACTGGCACATTTACCGAAACTCTTTAAGAGGAACTGCTTATCTTGTGATTGCAGGAGAAGCATGTCGGACAAAATTCGTAACATTTCCTTACTCGCTTCCGCTTTTGCCCGCAGACAGTACACCGCGATACTTTAACAAAAAATAATTAATTGGCATCTGTATTCATATCATTTTAATACACGTGCGCGTATACTTATACATTATTTACCACATGGCGATCAATATTACGGCGCCGGTTACGGGCCTCGCAAGCTTTGAAACAACGCTCCAGAACGGGCTATCCCTTTTCAAAGCTAACATTCCGTCGACGATAAAATCCCATGTGTGAAGATGATCTCTGAACGGTCCGCATTCGTCACTTCTCACGTTCGTGATGATGTATCCTATCGTGAACAGCACGACGATAATGCCGAGAAACGCGAGCGCCAAGAACAGCGTTTGCGTTTGCGCTGCACGCCAAGGCCGCGACGGCCGCTGGTAGTATCTCTTCAGCTCGTATCTCTTCACGTAAAATGTAAAAATTAATTTTATCACGATCAAAACGGACATTAGCGGACTGAAATAAAACCCCATCCAAAAGAGCGTCTGATTATAGATAAGATTTAACGTATTGCGAGCGATATCAAATTCCGGCCTGCAGACTTTCGTCGAAAATCTTTTATAGACCGTGGAACGTGCAACGTGTAAACACGCTCCGGATAGCATCGCAATGAAATCCAATATGACAAGCCGATAGATTTCCTCCCCCAAGTGCGTTTGCCAACAGTGCGACGTACTGTTGATTATCCAGAAGACGAATAAAGTGCCGATTATCGTCGCGGCAGCCGCGTAACTTCTGACAACTGTTACGTAAAGTTCCGTACGCTTGTTGCTGTAGAACTCCAACGACGTCTAAAAATATTGAATATTATGATCAGCTACTTTCACTTTTAATAGAACACGCGAGCTGCTTACCAGATAGGATATAATCGCTGGAAAAATGTGAATGATGATGGTAATGACTATTGGCACAATCATAATTGAGATAGTTGCGGGCGCTCCTACACCATAGTGACTCAGTAGCGTCCAAACGAGTCCACCGGCTCCGCAAATCATGAATATAACGATAGACGTTACGGCGAGTTGCGTTATCGTTAACCAACACTTGGTAAACCACTTCAAACGTATGCGCTGCCTCGTTTCCGCTAGCAGCTCTTCCAATTCTTTATAAATAGATGCCGATTGCAAAGCGGCAGCTTTCGACGAGGAGACGCTGAAGTCCCATCCGCAAAATATCTTGCTGCTATACAAATTGTGCACCATTCCACGTGTCTCGACGTAAAACTTTCGATAAGAGGATATAACTCTAGAAAAGAATTCGTTTAGCTACATTTAAATAAATTACAAATCGAATAAATAAATCATATTAATTTTGTAACGTACTTGAGAGACAGTATAACAAAGGTAACTATATAACAAAAAAGCAACGTTAGGAAATAGGCGAATGGGATGCTATATCTGGTTCCAAATGGTGTGTTTACTGTGCCATTGGAATAAAAACCATAATGCATTATTGTGCGGGATAAAAAGCCCTGCAAACCAAGGTATCTAGTTCATATGTGCTATGTGCGTTGTATTACATGAATCAGGCTGTTCACGGTAAAATAATGACTGCACTTACACTGCCTGTTAGAAAATCCAACATTTTAATATCGTTTGGCACATGCGTCTGATCCAAGGACTGCGGAATCACAATAAAAGAGACGCTGCAAATATTAAGTATTCGTCAGGATCCCGTTTGATCGCTTAATAGAGTAACACATGTAAAATACTGTCGGCACTAAGCAAACGAGTCAATGTTATGAATATATTCAGTAAGCTCTTTTAAACAGCTCTTTACAACAGTCTAAAATGTTCATCCATGCATCACGATACATTTATTGTGATACAGTCAATGTATCACAAAAGTAAGCTCTCGATGTAAAGCAAGATAAAACAGTATGCACCTCAAAATGCAGGAAATTACGTTGAGGAGGAGTAACCATCTCAGGAATTTGAAATACGTCGCTGTACCGCTTCCGTGATGGCTCTCGATCGTTTTTATCGTTCGGTGCCACAATTTCGTAGACGACAAGAGGTTCTGCATTGTCACCCGAATCTGTATTAAAAAGGGAACGCGAGTTTCTTAATCTTTCACACATAGAGCTTCGGTGAAATCAACATTACCTTGGTAAACTTTAAGCTAACGTTGTATTTAAACAGTTTCCAACAACTAATCGGCCCTTTTATCGTCTTCTGGCTAACAGTCGCCTGCAGCTGTGACCTGACAGCTCTTTTTACAGTCAGGCACTGCGGTATTGTTCTCACAGTCTCCATCCTAAACTGCTCTGCCCTGGGATCAGCCTGCATAAACCTGTCGCTTGACTGCAGGTGATTGGCAATAGCGCTGGCGCATTCTTCGTTAGATAAACTAACAATGTTGTGCATCCTTAAAGTAGCGTACGGGATAACAGGGCGCAAGTCATCCGACACGTCGTGTCCTTCGCTTGCGTCTGGAAATGCCATGTTCCACTTTACATTCATGATTGTAGAAGAATTCTAGTTAATCAGACACTCGACGATTGTACTCACTTGCCAATCTCGTCGGTAGCAGCTGTTGCATTTGGACATACTGGTCGGAATATTCGCCGAGTTCTCCTTCTCGAATTTCAGAGGACATTCTGGTGCCTGGAGTCAGCTGATGTAATTAGATAAAATTCAGTCCTGGAAAAAAAGGGGGAGAATTTGTAAGCACTCGCGTACGATAAGAAAGTATCAGTTTCAAGATAAAAACTCACCCGAGTTACTCTAATAATTAAAGAAAAAATAGCTGATCAGCGACAATCGTTTCCTAAACGTAAACAAGGTAAATATCGGTTGTGTACTTTCGCAATCTCTGGAAAATGGCTTGGTACAGATGTGCGATTAGATAAAAACACGTTGGCCTGAATTTGGAAACACGACAAACGCGTTTGGTTCCCTTCTGAAGTGCGTGCTCGATTCCGAACGATAGCGTGTACAGGATTGCATTATTCGATCGTGTCACTCGACATTCCCACGATCGATGGCGCATCGACGAGATCCCGACATTAACTATACGTACACATATAACTGTGCCCGACTCTTCGAGACTCACAGTCGCGATTGTTAAGCCTAAACTTGCCGTAATTACTCGGGCTAATTTCTTTCGACAATAACCGGCAAAATGACCAGTCGCAGTTGTTTCGCAGACGAGCCCGAGCTATTTCTAACCTAACTCTTGGGCGAGAGAATTTCGCACAGTAAACTTCAAAGTACGGGCCTACGTTGAAGATTTACCTCGCAATCGCGCGGCTACATTAAATCAGATTCTCTTCGATGATTAACGCTGAACTTTTCCTCTTAAATAAACGCCCGAGGTGGCGTTCAATTAGCTTCATCGCCGACGTGTACAAGCAGCGCGATATAAATTCGAATTCTTTTTCGCGCCTCGATTGTCGACGTGCACTCTCGAATTCGCAGACACGCCTAGGAATTGCGATTATCGGGCACGCCTGAAAATTTCGCAATACGCGAAGCTACTTCCGGGGGGGGGGGGGGGGAGATCGAGACGTAAGAGAAGCTCTTTAAATTTCCCTCGGAATCTAGGCTCTAGTGTCTCGTAAACAAGGAAAAACCCAAACAATTACCAACGATCGAATCTGTACCGTTCGAGCGTGATGCGCTAAGGAATCAGATCGGGCGAATTCGGTTTGCGCTTCCACGAACGCCATTTTGAAGTGACGATGTTCCCCCCCCCCCATTTACTGTGACCGGAAATCATCTTCGCGCCACGCAATGGCGCCAATTTAAATGGGCTATTAATTCAAAAATTACACGAGATTAAAGATTTTAACTTGAAGAAATAAACTCAACTTTTTCCAAACTCTACTCGTCGCAAAAATATAAAATAACTACAATTCGTTTAAATAGAGAAATTATATAATTGCACGTGATTAAAAATTTCGACTTGAAGAAATAAATTCAACTTTTTCCAAACTCTTCTCGCTGTAAAAATACAAAAATATAAATATATAAAATAATGACAGCAATTTGTTTAAATTGAGAAATTATATAATCAAATTATTCCTGTTCTTATTTAAAGCTATAACAATTTAAACATATAAAACAGTGTATTTATAAAACTAATCTACGAAACTATTACAATTATATACAAGAAACGTGTGTGTATATATATATATATATATATATATATATATATATATATATATATATATGAGAATCACTTCCAAGCTACATATTTTATTTTAACGTTACCTCGGGAACATTCCCGGCCGGTTTTCGCGAGGATAATTGAAGAGCTGAAGGTGAAGTAATAAATCTTAACTTTATTACCAGTATTATTACGAAAGACTTAGATTAAATAAAAAATATTTTCAACATCATCCTTGCATTGTTGCGCTTCAGGCTAACCTGAATAGTCCCATACGAAAAATCTAAGACATCAAATGCATTTAATTCCCCTTCTCCTCGCTGCTCCGTACACACGCGCGCAGAATCCAATGTACCGTCTCTGTACCAGCGTAGCCTCGCCGACCTTCTATCGTTAGTGCACTATAATACTATTTTTCCTTTGCAGCGTCGATATAGTGGAGTATCCATATTAAGGTTTATATTATGTAAACTGTGTACAATAAGTTTCATAGTACAATTTAGAATCAACATGTAGCTTTCAGTCAGTGCACTGCATGATTGATATTTTTTTCCCTTTAATCACATAAAAAACCTGAAACGATTTCACGCATTATAATATGTCGTGGCAGAAGCGACGTGTTTTTAATCAATGCCTCGGGTCTTCTGCGCAAGTTCTGTATCTCGAGAATGAACTACAGGCAGAGCTTGATATCTTGTGACTTGTTTCATCAAGAGTACAGACACAAGATACATCTTGGATTTATTCCGTGAAGAGATCCAGTTACACTATTTTTCTGGAGAAAGATACAGCTACAGATAGTATCCGTGTCTACATTTGTATCGGTATCTTTTAAAAAGATACCAAGCCCTGACCTCGCTTAATGCAACATTGCGATTTTAATTAATATCATATCAGCTTCGGTAATGCTTCAAAATGAATCAGCGCGTACATTACTTACGTTTTCTTTTTTAATCATGATGAGTAAGTACGTTGCAGCAGTACCTCACCACATGTTGTAATCGGTATCGTCCTGATCGAAAGTTATGAAAAATCCGACTAGAGTTGAATACACAACAATATTACCTGCCAATGTCAAGTAGCAAGCGCCCCATTGTATCTGTAAGTGCAAATAATCCGCATGTTCCGGCTGATCGATAGATCCAAGCCTAATTTATCATTAGTTGCAGTAAAACTGCTATACACAATTGCCTCATTGTGTCGCTGTGGCTTTGAAATATCGCCATTTTCACGATAATATTATAATACTATTCACAATTAGCAATAATGTTCTTGGTAGACTGAGTGATAGGTTAAACGATAGAGCAATAGGAAAAGTGATGAAGATGGTAGAAAAAATGGACAGAAGAAACTGTAATCGAAGGTTTAAAAATAGAGGATAAAGTGAGTAAAGCCTAATCTACAATGTGCTTTCTGCATCTGGAAACATTCTGCTTTATATAATACAGAACGAATATTTTGTACAAACAAATCAAAACGCCTAAAAACTTTGTCGACAATGCACGATCAAATAATGTATAATATACAATCAGCTTGCACAAAGTTTCTAAACGTATTTATGAATTACAAAATAGAATGTTTCTAGACGCAGCGAGCGCATCGTAGATCAGGCTTATCAAGTTGGGTTGAAGATTGTTCAAGGCAGAAAATAGGAACAGAGGCAGGAATGTTAGCCTGTAAGGCCTGATCCAAGTTCTAGCATCGTGGACGCAGGCCTTGAGAAAAGTAGGGATGCAATTATAGTAATAATGTTCTTAAGGCAGAAAGACAGAAATGTGTGCAACGCACCACTGGCTGGTCCACCGGAGATCGCGCCAACACAATTGGAAGAGCAAAGGACGACACGACGAATCCCATCGTAATAAATATCGCCAACTCTAAACACGGATTACTGTTGCTTCCCGAATCATCTGTGTAGCGACGCGCTACTATGGTTGGAATAGGTGCCAATATGTAGAACAGTACGACGAAAAATGGCCACCACACCCTGGAAATTGTGCACGTTATCACGTTTTTACGACTCTGGGAGAACTGGGGCCCTATTTTGTGCTCGGCTGCCGACAACTATCGATTTCACTAGCGACGTTCGCGCGGCTCTTTTTACATGGTAGTGAAACTTTTTTTACACGATAGAAAAGCTGCGCAAATCGTCATTAACGATGTAGCCGAGTACAAAATAGAGCCCCTGGATGTCCAAAGTGGATTGATCGTAGCAAAGAAGCTACACTCACTTGTATATCGGTAATGCACAGCCGAGAATGACAAACGTCATTCCAATGGAACCGGCGAACGCTAGCAGCACCAATCTGTAATCACATTGTTGTGTAACGTAACGATTGCATTTTGTTGATTACATTCGCACGCAAAGGTACTTACGCTGTTTCAGTGGACGTCACGGAGGAGAAGCGCCATGAAATGAGAAAAGCACAAAATTAATCTCTACGTACTACATCGAATGTGGATTACAAATACTACATCTTTGTGGGCTAAGGGTGTTTGTAGGCTGTCTAAGTTTCGGATTCGCAGCAACGTTCGCATCTCTCGCGTGTCGAACGAACGATTGCTCGGTTAAAAATGCGGGTATGCAGGTGCAACGAAAACTGATACGACGCGACGTAGCGTAGCGAAACTTGTTCGGATTGCGATTTTCGCGCTTGCAAAATTTCGGAAGGAGCGAATGAGAGGAGCCGCGAGGTAGGCGCGTTGTCCCTAAATCGAATCAAGAGGAGCCCAACTCAAGCGGACGAGGGACCGCGCGCGAGCAAACGTCAAACGGCGATGACAACAGCGGCGCGGCGAGGTTATGTTTTGACAGCCGATTTTCGCGAATTTCGCGCGCGGTCCCCGCGGCGTTGACATTCCGCGGGGATCCGCGCCGCGGGGGGCCGCACGTGCGAGAAACGGGATCGGGAATGCGTCGAATAACCTTTAATCCCGGCCATTGCAAATCAATTTGACAAGCGTGTGTATTTATCGAGCACTCTCGCCAATTCTCCGCTGCTCCGACCAGCTCCAACTTGCTGTCTGCGCGAATCGCGATTCGCGAACTACGCGTGACGTAAACCGACTTTAAGCCCCGTACACAGTCGGGCAGACGGCGAGGGCGGGCACACCTTTAATTGACCGTCTCAAATGTGTGATCTCGATTCTGATAATCTGATCAAGGCGGACAACGCTGCAATGTTATTTGTAAAACTTATGAGCGCGCCCCTGGTAGACACGGGGAGAATTAAAGCAATATGGCGCCCTACCCGGTAAATTTAAGGGGATGCTGGAGTATTCTGCACTTTTGCACTTAAAACTGTCTGTTTCGTGGAAACATTCGTGTAATATACAAATTACATGGCTTAGTCCCAGTCTACAGAAATTATATATGTTTGTATATCATTTTATTAATATTATTACGTCCGTGACTAGACGACGCCCGGTATGTGGCTATAAGTTACCACGATAGGAGAGTCCTTTGTTTGTGGATAAAGATTATTGATTTTGTGTCGGGCTTTCGTCATCTTGAGACTAGTTTTTTAATAACTCGCTTATTTTATTTATCATCAATTTCACTTGAGAAAGTATTTCCATCAGAACGGATCAGCCAATCAGAAATCTTTATGTTACATCGGCCAATTGGAACTCATCCGCTCTCGAAACGCTATTGTCCATTTCTATTTAACGCAAATTAACTTTATTCTCGGTTTAACTCACTTTTTATCTTACTTCCAGCTCTGAGAATTGAAAAGAGATGAAAAATAAGTTAAACCGAGAGTGATTTACTTCTTTGTTCATTTTCTTATGTTCAAGGATCATTGGATTATTATTAATTATTAAGCCCGCTGCAGACGATGCTATTTTTCCTGCTGGATTGCTTGCGATTTAGTAAATTACTATCATTGCACCACTCAGCATTCAGGATTCCTAGTAATTTACTAAATTGCAAGCAATCCAGCAGGAAAAATAGCATCGTCTGCAGCGGGCTTTAGACAACACTCGGGATGGCACTTTAAATATAAGAGCAAACTATGGCACAACTGTTGAGCGAGCGCTCAATGATTTCTTAATATGATTGGCTGGATCTAAAAGTATTAACCAATCATACTGAGCGCTCACTCAGCAGTTGCGTCTGCTGAACGCGGCCCATATCTCTTTCTTGTAAAAATTATATTACAAAGTCACGGACGGGAGGAAGGAAGTGGGAGAAATGACGCTGGCATTTTCGGCGAGACGACGAATCGATTGGCCGCAGGCGTCGCTCTTGTCGCGCGCCGCGCGTCACGCGGCTCCGCGCCGGTGCGGACGCGCCTTTACACTATGATTCGGCAACGGTAGAAGCGAGCCATCGCACCACATCGCACACACGGTTCTGTCATTTGCGTCCGTGACTCCGCTGCCTGGGCTCGTCGCGAGGAGAGACAGAGATATTGTGCGTCGTGCGGATTCCTTTTCTTGCGCGAAGAAGCAACCGAGGGTTGGACGATGAGCGATCCGAAGAGGTGAGGAAAGCACGGCGACGGAGAGACTCCGGGCGATGCGATCATCTTCGGCCCCGCGGCGGCGTCGGCGGCGGCGGCGGATTCCACGCCGATTTCTTGCGCGCGCGCCCCTGTGCCCGTGGGCTGTAACGTGTGTGTCTCCGCGGCGGCACTCAATTTCACGATGTCATCATGTCGACGCCGACGCGTCCGTCCTTCGCGGCGGCCTCGGACGGCGAGCGGACGGACGGACGTCGCGCCGAATCGCGGGCTCCGTCTTCTCGCGAGACTCCCTCCGGTTTTGCAGGGAGGGGGGGGAGAGGGGTACCGCGGACGCGGATCGGCACCCGTCGATTTTTCGGACACGTCATGGGGTCCCGATCATGGCTGTGCGCGAGCGAAACGTTGACAGTATGGAGAGGTAGACGCTCGGGCTCGCGGCGACTCGCCCGGAGTCAGCTGGCCGTTCCGCGAGGGCCCGCGAGCGTGGACGCGAACGCGCCTCGCGGCGGCCCCCGCGTTCGCGTTGCGTCCCTGAAATTGACAAATACGCCGATCTCGGCACACCTGTGTGCCGAGGATGTTTACGAAACACGAATAGTCGTAGATTCGAAATTACGAGGAACCGTGGGAATTTTGTGGATTGTCCGATAAATAAAATACATCGCGCAACGTGTGTACATATGCGCACGTATGCGTCTGCGATATTAATTATCCCTTTGCTTTTCCCGTCAGAGTACAGAGGCACGTTTGTTTCACCATGGAAATTTCACAGCGTCTTGGAGGAAATTTAAGAAGAAAAAATACCTTTCAAGATTTTGATTGAAATGATCTACGAAGCGCGGTTTTCTCTCGAGGAAAACAATATTGTACCAATGCCTTTCTTTGTTTTGACTTATTTGATTTTTTACGACTACTTTTCTTATTTCCTGATTTCCACATAGCTCGGATAATTGTGCACCTATAAGTAATATAACTAATAGGTCCGCTCTCTGGCTGCGGTCAAGCTGTCGCTTCAAATGTTTCAAAGTACTCTTCTCCTTCTCCTTCAGAAAAGATGGGAGAGGAGGAAACACTTCGAAGCATTTGTAGCGGCGGCTTGACCGCAACATCTATCGGCCCCTTTAATCTTCGCTATTCCGATCACACGAGTTGCGTGCGAAAACGTCACTCGAGCGTCCCAATGTATCATTTTGTCTTTGTGTACCATTTGGTGAGCAAGAAAGATAAAATGATACACTAGGGCACTCGGGCGATGTTCCCGAACGCAGCCATGGTATTCCGCCATACACTCGGGCAGGATCCAGCGTACTCATTAAGCCTATCACACAATGTCAGGCAACAGGAACAGGGAATAGAATTTCTGACGCGTTGGATTGGTTGGAAGAAAATTTTCAACGAATCCAACGCGTCAAAAATTCTATTCCCTGTTCCTATTGCCTGTTGCCTGGCATTGTGTGATAGGCTTCAAAGCCACACTACCACACATACAACTTTCCATTTATCTGCCAAGAACAATGTCGAGTGCGCAGAAGGGGTCGACGCAAAACGAAACAAATGACTGAGTGGACCTGCTAGTTACGCCCTATATGTTCTCATCGATGACAAAATGTTTAAGATGAAACTGTTTGTGTGTAATATATAGTAATTGATCACATTTGGTGTACAATTGACACTCCTCGTTTCAGTGGTGAGGACTTGTCGACGGCTATCCTTCGTAAGAAGGATAGGCCAAACAGGCTACTGGTCGACGAAGCGATCGCCGACGATAATTCCGTGGTGGCGCTCTCCCAGGCGAAGATGGACGAGTTGCAGCTGTTTCGCGGCGACACCGTGCTGCTGAAGGGCAAGAGGCGCAAGGAGACGGTGTGCATCGTTCTTTCGGACGACACCTGTCCGGACGAGAAGATCCGCATGAACCGAGTCGTCAGAAATAACTTGCGCGTGCGTTTGAGCGACGTCGTTTCCGTACAAGCGTGTCCAGAGGTCAAGTACGGAAAGCGCATTCATGTACTGCCAATGGACGACACTGTCGACGGTATTACCGGGTAAATTTAACTCGTTCAGACTTGTATAATAAACAGAATATGGGTCTCTCCCGAAGCGGCTCACGCCGTTTCAATCTTACAATATCGTATTTGTGAGCTAAGCCTCGAGTCCAACTTTTTTTTTTAAAAAAAATTGAGGATTCGTACATGGGAGTCGGACCTGGAATCACCACACTAAGCCGCATGTCATCCCAATAAGTTTAGATACATTTGTTTGTTACTGTCGTATGATTGGTTGGCAAATAGTCGAACGAGACTGCTTCAAATTATGATTTTTACCGTCTAATTGTAGCAAAGTCGGTTGATATGATTTTCTCTATAAAATTAATTTTGTGTACCTTTAATTACGTGATATCTTTACCATGACGCAAATAAAGTACACAGAAACGTATCTCTACACCTTTGCAGAAATCTATTCGAGGTCTATTTGAAGCCGTACTTCCTGGAAGCTTACCGTCCTATTCACAAAGATGACAACTTCATTGTACGAGGAGGTATGCGAGCCGTGGAGTTCAAAGTTGTGGAAACTGATCCGGGACCATTTTGCATCGTGGCGCCCGATACAGTGATACATTGCGAGGGTGATCCGATAAAACGAGAGGTCAGAATAACATAAACACATGTACACTCTGTGTTTTTATCTTCGATATCAACACACAGAGACAATGAGGTGTGTCCATTTGCAGGAGGAGGAGGAAGCATTGAACGCCGTGGGATACGACGATATTGGCGGTGTTCGCAAGCAACTGGCGCAAATCAAGGAGATGGTGGAACTGCCCCTGCGACACCCGTCGCTGTTCAAAGCCATCGGCGTTAAACCGCCACGTGGTATCTTGTTGTACGGACCACCGGGAACGGGAAAGACTCTCATTGCGCGCGCTGTCGCAAACGAGACCGGAGCGTTCTTCTTCCTCATAAACGGTGCGCAATCTGTGAACAGCCGCCGGAATAATATTAAATGGGGCCACGCAAGGCAATACGAGATTAAAAACTTCCCTCTGTCCGTGTAGGTCCCGAAATTATGAGCAAGCTGGCAGGTGAGTCCGAGAGCAACCTGCGAAAGGCGTTCGAGGAGGCCGAGAAAAATTCTCCGGCCATCATATTTATTGACGAACTTGATGCGATCGCGCCGAAACGTGAAAAGGTTCGCCAAGTCAAACTCAATGTCCCTTGTAAATCGCATTTTGAAGTAAAAATCATATATATATTTTTTTCCCCCCCCGCATGTAGACGCACGGCGAAGTCGAGAGGCGTATTGTGTCGCAACTGTTGACACTGATGGACGGCATGAAGCAAAGCTCCCATGTGATTGTAATGGCAGCTACCAATCGACCGAACAGCATTGACGGGGCGCTTCGCCGATTCGGGCGTTTCGATAGAGAGATCGACATCGGTATCCCGGACGCCACTGGCCGGCTGGAAATCTTGAGAATCCACACGAAGAACATGAAACTCGCTGACGACGTCGATTTAGAAGAGGTGCTACTTGTTTCCAAGCCACTCCTCTAAGAGATCGAAAACAATCGCACATACTCTAAAATAAAGATATATATGTGTGTCGTTAGATCGCAGCAGAAACTCACGGACACGTCGGCGCCGATTTAGCGTCTTTATGTTCGGAAGCGGCTCTTCAACAAATTCGTGAAAAGATGGACCTTATAGACTTGGAGGATGATCATATAGACGCGGAGGTCTTGTCTTCGCTCGCGGTAACAATGGAGAACTTTAAGGTGGGTCATCTTGCTTTTACATTGAATTGACTTGAATGATTGAGTCGAATTGTTGTCCACAAGTAAAAGTACATTTCCGTTAAAGTATGCAATGACGAAGAGCAGCCCGAGTGCTCTACGTGAGACGATCGTGGAGGTGCCGACGGTCACCTGGGATGATATTGGAGGTTTACAAAACGTCAAGATGGAATTGCAAGAATTGGTGCAGGTAAGAACGAGGCACTAATGTACGCGTACGTGAATTTTTCAAATTACATCTAATATTATTGATATATCGTATTCTCGTCGCGCAGTATCCAGTGGAGCATCCTGATAAATTCTTGAAATTCGGTATGCAACCGTCAAGAGGCGTGTTATTCTACGGTCCACCCGGTTGCGGTAAAACACTATTGGCTAAAGCGATCGCCAACGAGTGTCAAGCGAATTTTATCTCCGTCAAGGGTCCTGAATTATTGACTATGTGGTTCGGAGAATCAGAAGCCAATGTCAGAGATGTCTTTGACAAGGTAGGCTTGCTCGCATTCTTTAGTGGACAATTCGAGATCGCTATTTAACAATGCAAATTGTTTCCAGGCAAGATCAGCGGCGCCTTGTGTATTGTTCTTCGACGAACTCGACTCTATCGCCAAATCACGAGGTGGCACCGTTGGCGACGCCGGCGGTGCGGCGGACCGTGTAATAAATCAGATATTAACGGAAATGGATGGCATGGGCGCAAAGAAAAACGTATTCATCATAGGAGCGACAAATCGGCCCGACATCATTGACCCGGCAATTCTACGGCCCGGAAGATTAGATCAATTAATTTACATACCACTACCGGATGAGAAGTCCCGAGAAGCGATATTCCGCGCTAATCTTCGAAAGTCGCCTGTGGCTAAGGTAATAACCTCGTGAATTTATCTGGAAAACTAAAAATACTTTTGTTAGTACCAGCAATATTTATTGTATATTTTTCTGCGTGTCTTTCTTAATCGACATTAAAAGAATAATTATTTTTTTATTAGGATGTAGACCTGAGCTACATAGCCAAAGTTACACACGGTTTCTCCGGTGCTGACTTGACAGAAATCTGCCAGCGGGCATGCAAACTTGCCATTAGACAGTGCATCGAGACGGAAATTCGAAGGGAAAAAGAACGAGCAAATAATCCATCCGCATCTATGGACGTAAGAACGTTTGTAAGATACATTTTCAGGCGTTATTTCAATGATTCATTTCTGCTACGTTATCTATGTGAGTCATACCTGAGTCAGCATTCGATTTTATTCGAATCATCGAAGCAGCAGAAAGGATTTATTTACACATTTATTAATTTTTTCAAAATGTAACTGATAAGTTAATACAATATTGCGCAATTGCAAGGAAAAACGATTTTCTTTCGTAATCACATACGCAATAATAATTTTATGTAGTTTCGGGCAATGTTAAAAAATATATTTTTTTAATTCATAATTATGAAAAATGATTAATTTGAATAAAAATTGCTATCGATATATGCATCATACTCCAAAGTTGTAAATTTCTACGTTTTTGTCAGATGGATGAGGATGATCCTGTACCAGAAATAACGCGAGCTCACTTCGAGGAAGCAATGAGGTTTGCGCGTCGTTCAGTGTCCGATAATGACATTCGCAAGTACGAAATGTTTGCACAAACACTTCAACAATCTCGAGGATTCGGGACTAATTTCAGGTATGAGTTTTCTTGTTCGAATTCCAATACACGTGCAACAATTGATAAGATAATAAAACTAATTTTTTACAGGTTTACTGTTATTTCAAATACTAAAGATATATTTTTAATAGGACAGTTTGTACGTGATAAAAAATCCTTTAATTTTGAAAATAAATTATTTGCAGATTTCCACAAAGTGGAGCAGGCGGTGCTCAAGATAATACGCAAGGCGATCAAGCCTTTCAAGATGATGGAGATGACGATCTCTATAGCTAAGTTTTCATTTCCTTGTATGTCATTACAGTGAGCATACGACAAAAGGGCCTGTCTGTTACCACATAATATATTGCACAGCAATTGTTTTTAAGTGATACAATTGAGGTATAAAGAGCGTAAATAAATGGATAAAATGGAAATTTTATATGAGGTACATACGGCTTTGTGTTTGTAGAAGAAGGGCACAGGCCCTAATCTATGTATTGCTAAGAAACGTTCGGATATAAAATATCGATTGAAAACTTGCTTTGTCATAATTACTTTTGCGCTTAACCATATTTATATTGACGGAACGGCGTCTTTTAGCGGAACTTGGGTGAAATTATCTTTTCTTTCTCACCAACACTTTATAGGACATGGATGCGATAGAAATACATTCGTGTCATTCATCAACAGTTATGTGAAGATTACTATAAAGTGACAGGATGACACTATATCGCATATACAGGTACTATAGGGATATGGATACTATCCATTGCAATTTTGCTACGTAATTTTACATGAGTTAGTAATTTACGTATTTTTGTCGAGCTTGAACTCTCGGAATAGACCCTTTTGCTGCATTATCACTGTACTCTATGAGAATACATTCTGTTCACACGCATTGCAGTAATATTAAAACAAAAAAAAAAGAAATTATATCGAGATGAGATTGTCAACTAATGATGATGTACGTTGACGATTTTATAAATATCCCTTAATAGTAAATTAATCTATATACGACGATAACGAGCCTCTTTTTCAATCTCGTCACACAAATCGTGCGATTATCTGCATTATAACCGTTCGCAGTTTTATAAACGTTGAAAATTCTGATAATGGAGGAGCCGAATAAAATTGCTAAATACAACACGAATAAAAAGGAAGATCTATCAGACTTCTTTACAAGACTGGCAAGTTGTTAATACTGTTATGCCGTAATTGATCGTGCCACTCTGAGACGTACACAAGCTCCAACAATAGGATTAAAATGAAAAAGAGAGCGCAAAAAATTAATATATTGCTATCAGAAACAACTGTTCTTTCTAGATAACGACTGATATTCGAGGCGGAATTTTTATATGTTCACGTCAGTGTTACTAATGAAAGTAATACTTCAATTTCAGCATAAGAACAGCCATTTAATTGATATCATTATAGAATAAAATTGTACAAGAAAATTTAACGCATGTTCTAATCTACGAAAAGTCCTCGAGTTTTTACTCTGCAATTACACATCTTTATGAAACTAATGGGCTATGCACGTAACAGGAATGTTAATCCAAAAATGCTAACAATACGTTCAGTAAAATCATAAAAATTAATTTCTTTTTCATGTGGAGACTCGTAGCAATTATATTGCTAGTCTTGCGCGAGGTAATATCAGCACAAGTTCTCATACGAACAAAATTGTGACAACACAATTTTCAATGAAGAAAGCATCGATTAATTTATAAAAAATTGTCAGCAGTTTTATTAAATACAAATAAAAATGGGGACGTCGAACTAATAGATGTAGATAAGGAAAGACTCGCAGTGTCTTTTTTTTTATTCATTTTTTTCATTTGCAGACCAGCACAATCACGTGTGTTAATAAGAAACTTCATACGCAATGACGTTCAAAGCTTAAGCCTTAGCACGTTCGTATGTACATTGGTTATTTTAACGCTTTTATTTATCTTTATAAAAGTAAGACTATTTACCAAATAAAACTCGTTAGTATAAAACCGCCGTAACGACATGACACATTTATGGATCTACGATACTGACATGTTCGCGATCGCGCCGAATACTTCGGTTCACACGAAACTTCCTATTGTAATCCGAAATACATTATAAGATCCATTAAATTACACAATACGCTACGAAGAATCAATGAAAAAGGAAACGTAGCTGTGCCTCACTTAATTATACAACAATGAAATATCTTCGCCAGCGCCAGTGTCGTCTTTCTATCCCGATAAATTGGCACCGATCAATGGAGAGATTTTATTCGCACTCAAGCACGACTGCTAACGAAATCGATACTAAACGAAAACGTAAATCGTATCGAAGATTCTCTGTTCCTACTGTTAATTAGCTATTTATACAAATTACGTGTCATGACAACATTCGATAATCGATTCGACAAAGCGCTCAAAGAGACTTATTGCACATTCGATTACATATTATACATGATAATCTGTCTGATATAAAGCTTTAAGATATACAGTACGAGGTCCGATATATAATAACAAATAGAAAACTCTCATTGAATTAGAATTCAGTACGCGTAGTTTTGAAAATTATTCTGTCGATACGAGATAATGTGTATAGAATGATTTCAGATTTTAAGAACGTTGGAATGAATCCCTTTTTTTTCCTCCGCGTTTTTAAATATCTTACATCTTGTTTCTGTCACCATTTGTCGTTTCTTCATTGTCTCATAGTTGGGACGTAAAAACTGAAGTAGTTTTGAAACTTTAAATGCCAACAAAGTATCATATAATAAAATTGATATTTTTGGCAAAATTATACAACCTAATCACGTTTCACATTCTTGTACTACAAGAAGCTAACGTATGTCTCAAAAGATCTTACATTTTATACAAGAATTACAGCTGAAGCTCATCGTTCAACAGTTTGTCATACATGTTTATGTCTTTACATCTTTACCTCGCCAAGATGAGCTTTCTTTGTGGAACACAAAGAAGACTGATTTCATCATAAAAAAAATATAGCAATCCAATGAAACGTACAACGTAACAGAAGTGAGCTATGTCGCAGATTTAATTATGTACTTTGCACATAGCAAAAATCCAGTCGGCCGTTTTGTATAGTCTTCGCAATGGGGTAAGGGGCATAAATCCAATTCTATCCATGTCGATTTTGAGGTATAATTTATGTAACCATGTAATGGACATAATTTCTTGACATGCGAATTTATTTAAAATACATCAGTCAGAGGATACGAAATTTCAGAATTTCGGTTTCACGTTTATCACCTATTTATAAAAATGATTTCATTGTTTCCTAACAGGTCATACTTGACTCCACCAATTTCCCAGGCAGATCGAACACACACGAACCTATCATTTCTTCTCTGTGCTCTTAAAACTAAAATGTTTTTTTTTTGTAAAATATATGTCGTATATGTGAAAATCCAAACAAATAATAGTCGCTTTTCTGAATCGCTTAGAATATGGCATTCGTTAAATTAAAACGATTTAATTACACTGGTCCGTGATTTCCAATGTTGGAGGCTACACCTTAGGCTACAGTAAAAACGCACGTTTTCTGTATAAGGTACTTGATATAAAACACAGAAATATTAGAATGTAGAAGTACGATACTTCATGCCTTTATAACATTCTGTGTTCGTAAGAGATATCGCATTGCACAATTCCTGCGGTAAACGATTCACACAAAATCGTTATCATTGGATTACTATATTCCCCGCGCGATATTGTATTCCTTCCTTTTGCAAATGCAATGTCTACTTAACTAACGTTAAAAGAAATTCTGCTTGAGAAAATCCGCAAGCTCGGTAATATGACCGAGAGTGTTGCCCACAAGTGTTTCTTTCCGTTGTACGCATGGATTATATCATATAAAAACCGACCTCTCTAAGGATTAGCGTGCGCATTTCCTTTAGATCTCCAACGCGTACGCGACAATCTCGGCGATACCGACTACAGATCTTTTTTTTTTTTCGTTTTTGGTTCTATTGAACTCGGAGTACTGGATATACGGCCGTCTGTAAATACTGGACGCCCTATGCACTCTGTGCCCCGTTTGCCTTCGTTGCTCTTGCACGGCTCTTCTCATTTCCGTTCGGCTTGAGCTTTTGATATGCCTTAATTGTGTGTGTGCTGCGCTCAGTCTGTCCTTTGCGTGACAGGTGGGAACTCGGTATCATCGTCCAGACGAAACGGCCCGCCGCCTTTCGGTGGGCTTTCTGTCGCCGCTATCATCTCTTGATACTTCTCTGATTCTATAAATCCATTTACATTCAGATTATCAAGTTTCCATCTCGATCGCATTATCTCGAGCGGATATAACGATAAAGATGTATACAGACGATCAGCGTTCAATGATACATGATATATTTTATGCATTCAGATACGGTTTTCCGACTGGATTTCAGTCCCTCTTAACGCAAGCCCGACCTACGAGATCCGCAACTTTAACAACGTGGAATACAACAAACTGTTTGCGAGATTCGAATACCGCGAAAGGAATACGTTTCTATCTGAATGCAAATGTTAAATATCTCATTGACCATTGTCTACATCACATTGCCGTGAAACACATTCACTAATGAATTCGTTAATGCACATTAAATTATGGTCTTCTCTAAAAAAAAAGGAGTCAAAATCAATTAAATCACAAGCATTTAATTTTCTAATACATAACACTATTGCATGTGTAAAATATAAAACGCGATTTGAGAATTAACGAGAAAACCGACAAATTGCATGTCAATTAAGTAAAGATTATTCTAAAAATATTCGTTGTACACATGGCACAATTGTCTTTTGTAAAGGGTTCTTTGACGTATTCGCGACGACGTGAATGTTCTCTTCAACAGTTAAATATGATGTAAGGCTAGCGGAGAAAATACGAAACGATATTTACAAGATAAGATAGGATTCAGGTAATGTGACTTTTGTATTTTCTACTACTCTATTTTCAAGTTGTTTAATACCTGTTGTTTTCAAACAAATGCAAATTATTATCTGTTTCTCATAGACCGTTTTCGAACTCACCATCCGAAGACCAAAAGAAAAGAAGATGTGTTTTCTTACAATTCTATATATCCCATTTAGTTATACTGAACTTAACGTACAGAAACGATACCGTTAACGGGAGTACGCCATATATGTACCGTTGATGATTAGTGAGCAAAGTTGTTCTAAAAACTCGCTGCCACATAATACCGTGTATAATTGTCGCACTAATATCATACCAACCATTTATGTTAACAGCCTTAGCGATCGTATATTAGTAATCGTTATGTACAATCGTTAACATTGTTATAACAATAGGACATCTACGAGATAGTCTTCTAAGAACAGACTACTTGTAGGAATTCTCAAGACATTTCGTAACGGGATGCAATAATGCTGGCCATTATATCTGCTGACTAGTAGAACAACTTGCATGACGTGCTCAGTGATTTACCCCGGTATAGACTAGTGCCTACATGCATGTCCTGTGCATACGTGTATCATAGTCTCATGTATCGCGTCGTCCTTAAGAATTTGTCCGGTTTGCAGTTAATAAGCGTAGTAGATTTGTACTATCGTTTGCGGTGTGACAGGATAAACGGCTCGTATTAACGAGGACGTAGGCCGCGTGAAAAGGCAACAATGTTACTCAGCGCTGCTCTCATTCTTCCTTTCGCTGCGTGTACGTACGGAATAAATGTGCGGAGACGCTGGTAGCGAAGCGCGCGCGCGCACACACACACACACACACTTAGAGATAAAGAAAAAGCTCTAGAGAAGAATTTAGGTGTCTCGTGTACGGAGAATGAGAGCAAAAAAAAATTTGAGGGACAGAATAGAGGACATACCAGTACCTGACATGGAGTCTGGCGAGCGGCCACGCAACACACCCGCGTAGCTATTTATGCAGGCTTCGGTGGAATATTAAAAAGAAAAAAATTACATCAAGTAAGGTCAACTATCGGGGCCCCTCCCCTCCCCACCCCTTCTCCCCCCCCTCGCCCCTGAAGAAATTATCTGGCTATTTGACTTGAAAGGGGAGGGGGGCTAGAAGCGAGAAAAAGAAGACGCAAAGCAAATTATAAAAGTAAAGGCGTCTGGAATACGCGGCACATGCATACACACACTCACACGCATGGTACATAGCCGACGACAAACAAGCGTTTCATTAGAGCTGACACTGGATCAGCCTTAATGAATGCCATAATCTACCTACAAATACATGAAGTAGCGATTTGTCCACTACACAATGAGACGTAGCGACGTAGCGAGATTGATTCTATGAGAAATAGCCTTTCGTCTGAGCAAAAATACGAGTTTTTATATTTTTCTTGTAACGCCTCTTGAAATTAATCGATTGAATTTTGCTGTCAGATCATCTCTTTCCGTTGCTCCATCTTCGTGGATAGAAAGATGGCGAGATTGACTTGAAGAGAGAAAAACGATGCCTTTTCCTTTACTCGTATGCAATCGCTGATTTTATCGTGAATATGTTTCAATATATTAAAAATATGCCAGTACCAACTGTGTGTGTGCGTATGTGGCATGCTTCAAACAAAGAAGGAGATACTTAATCTATTCTGTTAGTGCTCGAATAACTGCGAAACTCATCACAAAATCACAAAAAATATAACAAAATGTACAAGAGATACTCTATACGTTCAAGCGCACTGTACTGGATATATAAAGAAAGAAGTTTCGCATTGTTAAACTTTCAAATTAACTGTCGGTAATGTATCTTTATCGTCAACTCGCTTCAACTAATCTACTATGTAACGAACAGCCCAAAATTCTGTCCTCATACCTGTATTTGTATTATTTGCTGTAGCCGCTGCCCCTGAACCCGAACCGCCGCAATCCGATTCATCCCGCTCTTTATCGTCTAATCTGTGAAAAATGAGCATCTTCACATCCGCGTTCTCACGCAACAGTCTATTATTATTATTAAAGACATGGTGATTAGAAGCGAGGATCCAAAAACTAAAAATAACGATCTTTTGCCAACTTTTGTAAGATTCGTCGAACCTACAATATTACCTGTGCTGTTTTATAAGAGTGCAACACCCACTCTCTGTCGGATCCACGGAATAGACGTATAAGTAACCATCGGCGCTAGCTACTAACAGTTTTGGTACTTTATGTGTTCTAAAACGCAGACAAGAAAACGTTATCGCGGGTACAAAATGGATCTAACGCGTGGCGTGGTTTTTGAGACAATGAACTTGTGGTCACTTACACAGTGATGGCACAGACATTTTTTAAACCTTGGAACGGTAGGTGGACGCTAGCGAAAGCGCGTCCTTGAGTAAAAACGTCAGTCACTTGCGACGGCAAGTATGTAGCCGACGCTGTCACAGCCTTCGTCAAAAATCCCATCCAGCTTTGTGCCTCGTCCGCAGGTTGTTTGTTTGGCCTGTTACGCGAGTAACACGTTAATTTACCTATATTTTTACCACGAAATATTTATTGGGGAAAAGAAACGGTGGATACGAGATGCGTACGTTTCCTTTGGTTCCTCCAGTTTAAATATATGCACAGTTTCCGTGTTACTGGAACAACAGAGCCACATGGAGTCCATGCTGAAAGACAGACTGTTTATCGTGACGCATCTCTTAACTCCGCGTCGAAATTCGAATAACTTTGTACCCTCGTGGACCTGTAAAAATACAAATATTGTTCGCAACTGCCAGCGATCAGTTGATAAAATACAGCCATTTTATCGACGATCTGTCTTACGTCAAAGACTCTAATCACGGTGCCCTTTTCAGAGGCTGTCGCCACTTTTGTGCCAGTCGAGCTGAAGGCGATCGCTGCCAATGGGCTGTCGTGTGCAGGTATCATTGTTTTGGCTTGCTGTATAATCGAAAAGCATCAGGTCATTAAAAGTTTCCGACGGCTCGAGGTTCGATTCATTCAAATTTGTTTAAGATACTTACAAGATGGTTCGCGTCAAATATCTGGACTTCCCCAATCGTGTTCGATCCCGGGTAAGCTACGTAACAATTATCGCTATTTGGCGAAAGTGTACAAAGACCTGTGAGATTAGGAGGGGTGTCGCGAATTGTATGCAACACTCTCATATCTCGTATGTTATGTATGTATAGCGATTCTTCCAGACATACCACCAATCTCTGAAATAAGCGATGCTATTTTTAGTACATTCAACTAAAAGAAACACGTTATATATCAAAGTTTATTTATTTCACGGTCAATTAAGGCGTACATAAATTTGCAACTTAGAATAGCAAGAGGCGTTCCTTTATACGTGAGAATCGAAATATAAATTTAGGATTAAAAGGCAGATAAACTACAATCTCGCTAGTGCATCACTATTAAATAACAGGTTGCGCCGGATTCATAAACCTTGACTACTGAAATATAATTAATTTATTAAACCTATCGAATAAAAATATAATATTAAATATAACTGAACTTATGTTAAATACAAAAATACATATAATTATGTTGCACACTATTTAGTACGAAAATTTATTGTTTACGAAAATAGTTTTAATACACGTTTACCCCTTTGCTACTATTTTTGCTTTAAACAAGGGGCAGCGGAAGCCCGCGATAGTGCTGGATTATTGAACGTGCCGGATTATCGCAGTTCCGGATTAGCGGGATCATACTGTAGTTAATATGGATATATATGCTCAATATAATCTATCTATATAAGATTATATCGTGCACATATGCCAACTATTTGCTTTTCAAATCTGAATTCAGATTCCACGACAGTTCTCGTGCATTAGGAAACCCCTCGTGTAATCTAAATTACAAAAGGCACGTGTGATATTTGGCTGTAAAATCTATATATATATATATTCGTAGGATTAGAAATTGAATCCGAGAGCCGCTAATTACGAGACTGCTGCTGCCACACGAAGCCATGCAACATCTCAACATTTACATTAACGAACTAATATAAATTTTGTTTGTACACAAAATTAAAAAAACGAGGGGGAAACCGCTGACCAAAATCTTGTACACCAATGTCCACTAATGCCCAGTGGGCATTATTTTATCTTATTATCTTATTTTATCTTTATAATGCCCCAGCAAGACCTAATGCCCCAAAAATTCCTAGTAATGCCTAGTAATGCCGCAAATCTGTACACCACAATGCCCTCCGCGGTTTCCCCCTCGCTAAAAAAACATATATACACATATTCGTCAATGTGGCGAGTGTGGCGCAGAGAAATGTGCACTGCTTAGTACACAAATGAACGAAAAGATCCGAGTTCAAAACCACGGACAGCACTGTTTTTTCGGAATCTCCCGAAGGAAAGTGGTAACCACCGAAAGTACCCTGCCACAATTACCCTTTTAGGGAAACAGCCCTCCAGATATTGCGTGACTTCGCGTAGAAGCAGCAGACTCGTAATTAGTGGGTCTCAGATTTGATACCTAGTCCCACATACGCGTGAGATCTGAGAAATATACAGATTTTACAGCTAAATATCATGTAAATCTGCAATTTAGAATACATGAGACGTTTCTTCATACGTGGTATCTACCATGGAATATATGATTTCAAATTTAAACGGTGTTTGACTCCTAGTCTCACGTACGAATATAAAATGCGGTAGCTAAGATTCCTTAGTTCTCCAAATTGGATTGTTAATGTTCTTAAAGAAAAAGCTGAAATTCTAAGATTAAGAATGTTAAATGTAAACGCAAGAAAGGTGTTGAACAGAAGTATATCAAGCAAGGGACTTATAATTCCGTTTCGTAAAAATCACGATGGACAAAACCAATGTGGAGGCCAAGGTTTACCGTAAAATTATAATAATGCTATTGCAACTCCTGTTGGAGACCAAGGGTTCACGTTCTGTATTGAAGAAGAAGAAGATAAATATAAATTTGAACAACTTACCGCTCTGTTGAGTTTCACAGCCAAAATTGTATTTGAGTAACTGTAATTACATATTTCCGTTCCTTTTCTGAAGTGGCACACTGTAAGCGTACGAGGGGACTTTAGACTAACGATGGCCACCAAACTGCTGCTGAACAATCGCTCGACGATGCATATGTCCTCAAAGTCTGTATCATCTCGAAAAGAAGGAAATACTTTAATCAAGGGAGGAATCCAGTGTAAAAATAAGAAAACAAATTCTTTTACATATTCTTATAGTGACAGTTATCTCGAGAATACATTCCTACAGTATTGCTTCGAGATTCGAAGTATCGACGAAGTTAATGAGCCATTTAGCGGACAGTCGTCCGGCGCGTTCCAGGTAAAGGTCGGACTTTAAACGCGTTTGTCTCGAAATCACGTTTTTCAAGTTGACCTGCAGGACAAAAAGTTACCCACCGATTGATCTCGAACAAGACCCGTTTAATTTGCTATAAAATTCCTCGAGTATTGACTGAAAATTCATTGTTTTTTATTTGTCATATTTTAATAAGCAATTTGATTTTTTGGGAAAACAGTATTTCTTTTCTACTAAATGCTATAACTTTCCTAAGTGTCGTTTGCTTTCGTTTAGATTAGATTCAATACCAGTAGAAATTAGTCGACCAAACTTCTCATTTTTGCTTTTAGATCACTTTTACAGGCGCTAGACTGCACGCCAGTGACCGATGAATTTTTTTGCTATTTATTTTAACAGTATATTTTGCAATAAAAATACAATTACAAAGAAATATTTAAGTGTAATTTAATGATGCCCCTTTATAATTAAAAAAGAAACATTACGATATCTTTCGTAGTTTTCTTAACAAAAATTCGCGAAAATACCCCATTTTTCCAACTTTTACACTGAATTTCCTGCTTAATAACATCAAAGGCTTCTGTTCGACCAGTCGTTTCTTACTCTCGCGTTACCTTAACATCGTCACGCTGGTCAACCGGTACTTTGTCTTTTCAGAGTATAAAAAGTAAAAAGTAAATAAACACGCTCGATACAAAATTTGGAATCAACCGACTAGAACATTGAATCATTCCGAGTCACAAATGCCACATAAATTAAAAGACGCATAATTCAACGCGACGATACGCGATCTTATTTAATCGTATTATACAATATCTTATCGTCTCCTGCCCGTGATAACGAAAATTATACCGCGGCATACGCAGAGAGGCACGTGAGGCATCTCGCTGGGCAGATGGCGCGAGACAAAAACGCCATAAACACCTCTTGGACGTAAAAGATATTTTACAGTGTTTTCATCTCACCGGCGAGGCTGATCGGCAACTATCGGCCGTTTATTATCGTCGCGGAGTTATCGCCTTACAATTATCGGAGCGACGTGGGAAAACCAATTATTACCATTTTCGTATATTTTCTCGAGGTGTCCGGTGGAGCTGATAGAATAAAGTTTGTAACCCGACTTCGAGCCCACCGCCAAGGACCTGAAAGACAATCAGGAGCCTTAATAAACTCCTCCCACCTCACGAGGGAACATTGACTGCATTTTAAAACACAAAGAGTCCTCGATATCTACGCGCATGTTCGCGCTCTTTGTTCGCCCGCCTCCCGATACCGCCATCGGTCGTCCGCGCGTGTAAATATCGAGGAAAGAGGGGAAAAAAAAGGAGAAGAAGGAACGAAATAACGCAATCGCCGCGAACGATATTGCAATCGTGCGAGGAGCAGGATAAGTCCTTGGATAAGGCGGCGCGAGTGGAAGGGCCCCGGGGGGCGACTGGCGGTACGTGCGTGCGTGCGTACCGCACGCACGCGGTAGGTGCGCGATATCGCCGTCTCCTTTCCTTCTCTCTCTCTCTCTCTCTTTTTTCTCTCCTTCCTTCTGCCTCCCGCCTCCCCCGTCGCGCCGCGGCCGCGACGCACGCGGGAGAACGCGCGCGCGAAGGTTGGGGTCTTTCGTTAACACGCAATTAATCGGTGAAAGGGGGAGCGGCGGATGACGCAGGCGAATAACGCGACGAAAACATCGCGCGAGGGAAACGCGATGCCGCGAACCTTGGCGCGAGGCGTGCGTTTGTTACGTGCGTATATATATATGTGTATATCATTGCGAGTTATACATATATATATATATATATATCGAGAGAGAGAGAGAAGGCGACACGCGAGACAGGGAGACGATCGAAAGCGCGCGAGGTTAGGAACAGACAAAGGAGCTGGCGGAGGAGGAGGAGGAGGATCGACGAGGACGATTGGCGCGTGCCAACTTACGTGCAGTCCTGATTGAAGTTGACGAAGTAGGGACCGTTGCTCTGCGCGTCGGACGTCGTGTCGGACGTCTGGTTGGCCGCGAGGTTCATGAGTCCTGATATGCTGTACCTTAGCCCTTGCGTTAATACATCCAGGTTGATCACGCGCGGGATCTGTCGCATAAATCACGGCGGCACGCGCGCGCGTCTCTGTGCTCGCGGGCGCGCGCTCGCGCGCAGGGAAACGCGCTCCCGAAAAAGCTGTCTCTCGCCCGCGGAGCGGAGGACTCTCTCGCGCAGCGCGGGTACCTCGCGCACCTCGCTCTACCTCTTCTCCCCCTCGCTGTCGCGCACCGTCCACCCCCGTCCGTCCCGCGTTCCTGGGCGCCGCTGCTAACGAGAGAGGGACACGGCTCCCCCGCTAATTCGCTGGCCTGGCTGGGGCTCGGACGCTGGGCTTGACTCCTGGCTTACGTGCGTCTGACAACGGCCGACTCCTACAAGTGACTGCACTTTGCTATCGTTCCATATTGAACAGCTGACAGTCGCAGCTGCTGGCCGGAACAGCGGAACGCGAAACATCAGTCCCCGTTCCGTGCGTTCCGTTGCTATGGCGACGCCGCCGGTCCTCTCCTTCTTCCCCCTCGTCGACGGTCCGGCCAACGTAGGGGCCAGTTTGCAAGTGGAGCACCTCAAGCACGCCGTCCGCCATGTTCAGATTAGCTGTTGCGCGCTTTTTTCAAAACGCTCGAGTCGATCGAATCGATAGTTGGCGCGCAAATAGTATTATCGCAAGCGAATCCGGGGAAGAAGATGTTAAAAATGGAAATTTCAATTTTCTAAAGTAACATTAATTTGTATTTATTTTTTAATTTGTCTGTAATCATACGCGTAAAATTTACTCGTTACGTATCTGTTGGTGTAAAAGCGTTGAATTTATTTTAATAAATTCTCAGTTTGTATAAAGCATCTAGTGTAACTGTTATCTTGTCTATTTATAATTTAACATCTTTGTAGCCTTAGTCCCAGTCTACAATAGATGATTTAAGCCCTAATTGTAAGTCTTGAGAAATTGACCAATCACGGTCAAGTATGAGTAGAATACACGACTGTGATTAGTTAATTTCTTAAGTCCCAGTCTACAATAGATGATTTAAGCCCTAAGCTTTAAGAAATTGGCCAATCACGGTCAAGTATGAGAAGAATGCGCGACTGTGATTAGTCAATTTCTTAAGGCTTAGGGCTTAAATCTCTATTGTAGACTGGGACTAAAGCCCGTATCAGACTACGGATTGAGATTGGGATTAGATTGAAATTTGACCAATCAGAGTAAAAGTTACTGAACTTGAGATTAGTAAACTTTACTGTGATTGGTTAAATTTCAATCTAATCCCAATCCCAATCCGTAGTCTGATACGGGCTTTAGTCCCAGTCTACAATAGAGATTTAAGCCCTAAGCCTTAAGAAATTGACTAATCACAGT